GAGGGTTAGGAGAGGAGGAAGGTGAGGGTCTGAGGAAAGAGAGGAGGAGGGTTAGGAGAGGAGGAGAGTGTTCCTCTGTGTTTCCAGGTAAATGAGGAGGAATACATATCACACATTGAGCTTCGTGTTGAGTTGTAAACTTCTCCCTGCTGCATGGTCGCTGAGTCTCGTAGAGAAAGGTCAGAGGTCACGAAGGCTCCCGAAGAACAAATCCATCCTTTGGTCGAGATGAAGATGAAACACCCTCCTCTTCCTCCTCCCTTTGTCTCTCGTGTGCAAACCACTCGCAGCTCTGGCCCAGATTAAAGAGGAGGAGGCCTTTATTTTTAGACGGCCATGTTTAATGAATGACCTCACCGAGAGACTCAAACCCACAGACGGAAACTGAGCCGAGGTTGGTTCGATTTGTAGATTTTAAAAAACGTCACTTCCTGTAACTGCTGGCGATGGTGGATCCGAAGCTGCTTTGCCGCCATCATGTTGAAGTCCCGTCATTAATGGCAGAAAGAGGAGCACTGGGAGGAGGTCCACAGTTTCCAGCTGGTTTCTGAGGTGGCACCTCCTGGAGCAGCCAGGGGGCGCTTTCCTCCCAGAGACAAGACAAACAAGTTTTCATAGTCTGAAATTTAAAATTCTCCTCCATCAATAAACAGCAGCTCAGGGCTCTCTCTCTCTTTCTCTCTCTCTCTCTTTCTCTCTATCTCTCTCTCTCTCTCTCTCTCTTTCTCTCTCTCTCTCTCTCTCTCTCTCTCTCTTTCTCTCTATCTCTCTCTCTTTCTCTCTATCTATCTATCTATCTCTCTATCATTCTCTCTCTCTCTCTCTCTCTCTATCTATATATCTATCTCTATCTATCTATCTATCTATCTATCTATCTATCTATCTATCTATCTATCTATCATTCTCTCTCTCTCTCTCTCTATCTATCTATCTCTCTATCATTCTCTCTCTCTCTCTTTCTCTCTCTCTCTCTTTCTCTCTATCTCTCTATCTCTCTCTCTCTCTTTCTCTCTATCTATCTATCTCTCTCTCTCTCTATCTCTCTATCTATCTATCTCTCTCTCTTTCTCTCTATCTCTCTTTCTCTCTATCTCTCTCTCTCTCTATCTATCTCTCTCTCTTTCTCTCTATCTATCTATCTCTCTCTATATCTCTCTATCTATCTATCTATCTCTCTATCTATCTACCTATCTATCTATCTATCTCTCTCTCTCTCTCTATCTATCTATGTATCTATCTATCTATCTCTCTCTCTATCTCTCTATCTCTCTATCTATCTATCCATCTTTCTGTGTTGTGTTTTATTTTTGTATAAACAGGTTTTATGTTTTCAGTAAATGTGATGTTGTGTATGAACCAGCCTGTCTGTGTGTGTGTGTGTGTGTGTGTGTGTGTCTGTGTGTGTGTGTGTGTGTGTGTGTGTGTGTGTGTGTGTGTGTGTGTGTCACAGGCTCCAGCTGCCAAAGTCCAGATTTATGTCAAAGATTAATGATGAGCATGTTGTCCAGATCGGGATGAAAACGAACATGTGCAGTAATCACATTACAGTGTCGGACGGAGACATCAGGCCCACCTCGCACAGCGCAGGCTGTGATGCAGATGGACGGGTAAATCCCGCCCCCCACGCCGCCCCGCAGCGTCTCGGGGCTCAGCCATGTTTGTGTCTCGGGGCTGTGGTTAACAGCGATGGGAAAGGAAATTAAAAGACCTTCTCCACAAAGATCCTGACACATCGTCCTCTGCAGCAGCTCCGTTGTTTACACTGAAACAGACGTGTTGGCGTATTTTCGCCCACGTGTGGAATTTCAGAGGCGTTCTGGAATCGGAGGCGTGACGTGTAACACACCAGCATCTGTCTCTGCCATGTTGACTCTTTTACATGGATGTTGGTCACATACACTGTAAATAAAGACGGACGACGTGACCAAACCAAAGTCTGGATCGCCCCCTGGTGTCAGCATAGCGTAAACACCTCCTCCATGTTAGCAGATGGGACATGGACTAGACTAAAAACTCATTAAAGTAGTTGTTTAATAAATGTTTGTCAAAGATGGTTTCTGTCATTTCAGGTCGTTCTTATCTCACCGATGTTTCTTCAAGTTATTTACTTATTTGATGACATAAAAAAAAGCTGAGACGTCATGATTGACAGCTGAGACTGACTCCTGATTGGTTGAGCACCTGTATGGGCGGGGCCTGGATACCACAGCTAAACTCCATGATCACTGCTGCAACTCTGACTGACGATGAAGGCATCACCACCAGATGGCAGCGTTTGTATCTGAGCTATCTTGTCTTCATTTCTGGACGAGACATGTCGTCCTTATTTAAGACAAAGACTACCCTGCACCTGATTTGGTTGCCTTCAGACATGATGGGCAGATGATTGGGTCAGGAGAGACCATCACTGCATGATGAGCAGTGCCAGTGTGGACACACACACACACAATCACACACAAACACATGCACAGGTTTGTACTTCTATCTTAGTGAGGACACTACCATCCAAACTGAATGCCTAACCTAACTCTAACCCTAAAACCAAGTCTGAACAGTCCATTAAAGGTTGGTCGTGTCCTCACTCTGTAGGTTGAAGATATCTGTACAAGAACACACACACAAATTAAATCAGTTGTATAATGGCCCAGTGTTGGTTTATAATACAACACACACACTGGAGAAAGTGCTCTGCGTCATCTGAACCACAATGGTTCAACAGTGTGTCTGGACGTGTGTGTGTGTGTGTGTGTGTGTGTGTGTGTGTGTGTGTGTGTGGACCTCGTTGGGATGGAGTGTGTGTCGCTCTCTGTCAGCTGAGTGTTGAATCAGTGTGTTGTAGCTTCAACAACGGAGCTTTTGTCACTGATGATGACACCAAGCAGCCATCCAGAATCCACCGTTGTTCTGTCCCTGTGAGCAGGCCTGCAGATCCGCAGCGAGCAGCGTCCGTTTATCCCACTGTCACCTGGACGCCACTTATCCACAT